AAAACTAAAGCTTCGCCGCGGAATTACCTGTTATTTCTCCACTACTCACAACTGCCAGCAAGAGGAACAATACCAAAATGTTTAACCCAACATGTTTGAAGTCAAAAATCTTGATACCTATAAAGAATTTGTTAAAAAAACATTTTATTTAATTCCCATACTATAATGGTACGCAGACACAATTCTTTGTAAACAATTTTAATTTCGAAAGAAAAGCAACGATACTTGCGTTAATCCAAATAAAAACATCGTAATCACGAAGATATGTGGCAAGTTTATATTCTCAACTTGGACGTTTTTAATTTTACGTATTCTATATTATTTATAGACATGGAGCGAGGGGGATTCGGCGATATATTACCCTCAGTGATGATAAATATCATCACTTCGGGTAACATTTCGCCGATCGAATCCCCCTCTCTCCAGTTCTACAAATGATAAATAACACATAACTAATAACTTCCTTAAATAGTTAAGAAACAACGCCAACATAAATCGATTATAACGTACTGGCGTGAAATACTTTAATATCTCGGCTAAGGTTTCTTTCTTGTGCGGTTCTTTTATATTTTTCTCCCAAAGTGGGGTTCTGGCGCGGGTGGGGCAGTAGAGCCAGTGTGACCAGATTTGGTAAAAAGTTTTACTTTTAGTAAAATTTTGTGAATTTTCAAGAAAGTTTGGTAATGAGTTTCTTTTGGTAAAATTTTGGTAAAATCTGAAAGGTTTGAATTATTAAAAATAGTTTGTAAAAATGTGTGTTTTTTGTTTAATAACGTGCTCAAAGTGGTGAATAGAACTGCCAAGCCTAAGAAATAAAGCCTTATCATTAGCAAACACTGCAATATGATGAAAGCAACAAGTATTTCGAGGCACTTTTTGTGGATATTTTTTCTACTTTGATGAAGTAACTATTGTTTTTTGGCATTATCATGACGTAATTATTTGGGAAGCCGACATTTGGTAAAATGTTTCTTAATTTAGTAAAATTTGACCAAAATTTTGGTAATGACTGCTGAAAAAGTCTGGTCACACTGAGTAGAGCTCCACCCATGACGTCATTGCAGTGTATTTCATGTACTTAAAGATTTTTTAATTTAAGATGTAATGTATTTAAAGAGTGTTTAATACTTTGCTAATATTTATCTCCACATATATATTCCTTCTAACAAACTGAGTGTACTTTAACACATTCTCGATATATATTCCACTAAAGTTGTTGTAATGCTTGTGGGACGTAGATATTGTACTTATACGCATGCCCAGTGAGAATTGTGCGCTACGAAAATTCCTGACTTATGGGAGTTTGCAAAGATTCCGGGGGGAATTCTGCAGAGAATATACCAGTTTATTCAAAATTCTTCAAAATCATAAACGACAATAGAAGAAATAGAGCATACAAGGTGTATTTGAATTCATCGTATTACAAGGTTTTATTAGATTATCTTAGAGTGTCCACTACTTTAACACCATCCTTGGTCTCCATGGGATGTATTCATCATGTTTAGGTCTATTAAGGAATAATAAAAATCCAGATATACATATGAAAATTTTTAATCAGAACTAAGCAGTTGCTAAGCCCAAGTTAAAATCGTTGTCAACGCCATTATTATGGTCGATATTTGCATATTACCGAGTCATTTTAAAGGGGCAGTGCGATGGAAAATTGTGCTGTTTTTTTATTGTATATTCAGAAAGTATATCAGTAGACAAACAAAGTTACCAAATATCAGCGTCCAATTCCATTTCTTTCTGCCTTTTTTTCTCAATGCAAACATGCAAATTTTTCGGCCGCCATTACTGAGTTAGATGTCGATTTCTTAGGCGGATGTGACGTCATATACTCAACACGCTTCTTTCCCGAAGGAGAAATTAATATTATCAAAGGCTTTAATATACTAGACTGTTTTTTGTTCAAAATTATGTCTTCTGACGAAAGCCACAGCTCCAATTTTGCAACACAATCATCTTGCGAACTCTCTTTTGCCGAAGACGTTTCTTATGATAGCGGGGGTGATATAAATATGGAGAAAAGTGTGGATTTGTGCGAGGCCTATGGTACTTCAGTCGAACCTTTTGCCACTGGAGAAACTTTAGAAACATAATACATGAAGAGTACTACAACTGAGAGAGAGCAAAAACAGCAAACACTGTCTGCTAGATTCTCTGGGGAAACCTCAACTGACACCTGGTACGTTTTGGATTGTATTTATTTACGTTTTGGTTATATTTGTGACATAAAACAAACATGTGATGGCCATGTAAAACAAAACAAATGGTTACTGGTTTCCTTATAAAATGTTATTGTCACTTCCGTTATTGCACGAAACGTCTTCAATGAGAGATGGCTTAAAGATGATTATGTTGCCAAATTGGAAATCCTACTCACGTAAGAAAACATTAATTTACACAAAGTTGTGGGAAATATACTTCAATTGTATACTTCAATATATATTAATGGTCCATAGGTGTAAATGTGGCAACTGTGTCCTGGCCTTTGTGGTAAAGCCCAATGAATGTCGTTGTTTGTGTGAACCTTATAAGGAAAAAATGCTGGAAGAAAACATGCATGACCGCTGCTTAACGGAGCATCCAGCATTTGATATTGGGTGCTTGAACCATTGGGTGTTAAAACTTGCTGATTTAAGTTACAAAACCCAAATAAAAGGCTGCCAAAATTATACCACTCTGTATACCAAAGGGAAAAAGAGTGAACCAGAGTAAGTATTTCAATGTGTATTTCTAAGCAATACTCCTTCCCCCCCAAATGGAAGAGATTTACTTTATGAACCCCCATCCCTCTGGATTTTTCTAACTGTCCCTGACAACTTGTTTCCCCATCCCTATGGTAATTCTGGACAGTTTGTTACTACTATCAACTGTGCAGAGTGTGTAAACAACTATGCAAAGTTTCATTTCATTTGCTCAAATCCTCTTGGAGATATTCCACTTTAAGTTTTTCCTGCAACTTTTAGCACATCTTATGACATCATAGCTCAAATTACAAAAACTGTAATAACTCTGGATTGAGATGAGATATGAAAAACTGTAACTACCATTTTTCATCACTTGAAAGGTACTTTCTAGTAGAGCAGTAAAATTAGGGCAAAAAATTCATGTCATGCACACTTTAATTATTACCAGGTAGGTGGGTGAGAAAAAGAGCTCTCCCTACTCTGGTGATGGATGAGTGGTAAGAAATTATCATCAGCCAGGGGCAGCCAAACTGTTACAATGTCATGATCTGAGTACCATATTCCGAATTTAGTAATTTTTGAATCCCTGTAAAGATGAGCAAGGTAGTGAAACATCCCATCATGTGAACAGAAAAACTTGAAAGGCCTTAAAGCTAAGTGATAACACAGTTATAAGTAAGCTAAACAAGGATCTTGCATCATGAACCCTGGTGTTTCTGTGCAGAACACAGCTCACAAATGACATATCGTTTTTGGATAACGGTACTAAATTTTAAAGCGGTCATGTTTACATAAAAATTTTCTTTTTAAATGGTTTCTTAGGGCAGTTTCATATCAGCAAGTAGAGAAGCTTGTCTGGGGCTATACCAGCAGTTAAACAAGGTACCCCCTTCCTTGCTGTGCATACACCAAAATACGGTTTCTGTGTCGTTTATGTGAACAATGTTGTATCTTGCCGAGTTATTTTTTTAAAACACTGACATCATGCTTGAAAGTATGATAGTAGTTAAAAACTGTCCAGAATTTAGCATATCAGGGGCAGATAAAGATTATATTCCCATGTTTTCCTGGAAGAATTTGTTTCTTGCTGTTCTAAAGGGCTGATTACATGGAGAGTTTTCAGCCCAGGCTGAGTTTCAGCCGGCCCGGTTAAACGAGCTGAAATTACATCACGATTACATGAGCAGTTTGAGACAGGGCTGAAATGTCAGCCCGGGCTGAAATAATCTGAGTGTCACGAAATAGGACAATAAGCCTGTTACGCTTCTTTGAAGCAATCAGACGCTGATTAGTTGACTGTTTGACTTGTGTGAGACTGTGGTTGCATGTAGGAAGAGATTATTTCGCTGGCCTCAGAGTGACAAAACGTAACAAAGCAACGGTTTTACTAACACTAACTCTACTCCAAACACCAACTCTGACCCTAACCCTTATCCTAAACCTAACCTAACCCTACTACAAATTCGTTTCTAAACCAATTTTGTAGAAAAAAGTTTTGACGAAATGTCATTCTGAGGTCAGCGAAATAGTCGATGCCTTGCATGTAAAGTATTTAAAGATGAAATAAACACGCAAAATAAGTCAGTATTTAAAACACGAGTAGGAGTGTTTTATCAGATATAAAACACGAGGCGCAGCCGAGCGTTTTATGTCTGATAATACACGACAACGAGTGTTTTGAATAGCTTAAAATACGACTACAAAAGAATACTAATTAGGACGAACCATTATATAATCATACTAATTAGGATGAACAATTATATAATATACCACATGCTTTATCAGATATAAAGTTACTCCACGTAACATATTATGGCTGATATGATTTGCCACAAGGTTTATGAATTATTAATGAGTATTTTACAGCATGAGCTCCACCTTTGAATTTACTATATGAGTAAATTCTTAAACACGTCCGAATTTATCATTATGATAAATTCGCGGCAAATTTTGAATTTATCATAATAATAAATTCGCGGCACCTAACACTAACCCCAACCCCAACCCTAACCACTAACCCCTAACCCCTAACCCCTAACCCTAACCCCTAACCACTAACCACTAACCACTAACCCTCATTTTTTTAACTTTTTAAATTTTTTTAACTTTTTTAAAAATCTAACTTTTTAAACTTTTTTTTGCTTTTCAAAACTCTTTTAAAACTTTTTAAAACTTTTTTAAAAACTATTTTTTTAAAAAACATGAAAAACTCAGCCCAGGCTGGAATTTTCGAGGAAATTTTGGTCATGTAATCGCTTGCTGTGTTTTGATAGGATTTTATCCTTAGGCCGGGCTGAAACTCAGCCCGGGCTGAAAACTCTCCATGCCGTAATTTGAGTAATAGACCTTATGCATAATGACGTCACAAGGTTTGATGCTCGCGAGGACTGCTGGTCTCAGTAGTCATCACCCGGGAAATTTAAACAATTCAAAATGGCCACTATCGAAAATTTCCCGGGCGATGACTACTAAGACCAGCATTCCTCGCGGGCATCAAGCCTTGTGACGTCATTATGCATAAGGTCTATTGTATTTGACATGAAAACGAGGTCATTGGGTAAAAGAGAATAAGGCGGTAAGGTCTATTATATACAGGGTGTATCAAAAAAAACTGAACAGATTTGAAATTGCTCTCAATTTCGCAAAACACATATTTGTATCTGTTTTTTTATATATATAGCTTCTTTGGGTACTTATAATGTAAAATAATGAAAAAAATTTCTCGAACTCAAATTTTGTGAACCAGGGGGGTGTGTCCTTCCCAACAAACTAAAAATGGCTCGCGCACAAAATTTTAAAGCTGTAATTATATTTTGAGTTAACAGATTGAAAAATTGTCGGGTTTTTAATTACTGTACAAAATTTCAGACAATTTGGTTTAGTTTAAGCCCTTTAACTATTCATTTTGTTCTAAAAAGTCAGCCTTTCGCATGCTTAATTAATGCCTTTACCTAATTTGCATATTGCTGACATATGCAAATTAGGCAAATGCATTAATTAAGCATGCAAATAGCTGATTTTTCGGGAAAATTGTAACTTTGCGTGAATAGTTAAGGGGCTTAAACTAAACCAAATTGTCTGAAATTTTGTACAGTAATTAAAATCCCGACAAATTTTCCATTTGTTAACTCAAAATATGATTGCAGCTTTTAAATTGTGTGCGCGAGCCATATTTAATTTGTTGGAAAAGACACACCCCCCTGGTTCACAAAATTTGAGTTCGAGACATTTTTCTCATTATTCTACATCATAAGTACCCAAAGAGGCTATATATATAAAAAGCCGGATACAAATAGCTTTTTTGCGAAATTGAGAGCAATTTTAAATCTGTTCAGTTTTTTTTTATACACCCTGTAGATAGAGAATAGAGATAGCTAGGGTGTTTGACTGAAAATTGTTACTCAAAACGTTACAGTTTTCTTGTTTGAACCAGTTACATCAATAGGCTACAGTCCAAGTTGATAAAGTTTACTTGTATATATTATTCAAAAACTCATTTAATTTAATAATTCATGAGGAAAACACAAAGAAAAATCATAAGCGTGTCGTATATTTATATGTGATAGAGATTTTCCTTGATTCACATAAACTTTAACTTTGATTTTCTCGACTTACACAACGTGTTTTTTGAACTGAATTACTTCGCCGATGAACTTACTAGATCGATCGTTTTTGAAGCAATTTAAAACATTCGCAGTGCGTGTTTTATCAGACCTAAAGATACTCGGCTTCCCCTTGTATCCTTATATCTCATAAAAGACTGCTGCTCATGTTTCAAATAGTACATAGAGTACTACCCGAATTTATTATGCATACAACCTAAACTTTGTACCACCTGGCTTTTTTCTTTCGCTTCAAGTGCCACGTGTTCGTCGGTAAAACTTAGATGTTACACCCCAGTTAAAAAGGTAACGCTACGCCCCTGCGCCTACTAGACTGGGTTGGTGGGTTAATCCTTTTTTAATGACTGTGTATATAATATGCAAATATCGACCATAACGGCGTTGACAACCTTGCATGTCAACTTGCATGGGCTTAGCAACTGCTAGGTTCTGTTTAAAATATCTCGCAATTTTAATTTCTGCTTGGAAACTTGTTACTCAAAACGGCTCCTTTAAGAGCCAGCAAATTCATTAAAAATTAAAACGAATTTTCGTTTATTTGACGTTGAAAATAAATTTACCAAGAGTGAGATTGCCGAATTGGAACCCACGACCTGCTACGTGGCTGTAAGCTATAAGGCAAACATTTTATACCGTACCGGGATTGAACCGGTAACCTAAGGAATACTGATTATTGTTATGCATACATAATAAGTCCTCCACTACCCCTCCACCACCCCTACACTCCCAAAAATCCGGGTCAAGCGGTACCTATACATTACTACTGCTGAACAACTTACGCTGCTAATACAACTATATATGTTTGAGATATTGTATTAATTATTGCAATTATATATATGTTTGAGTGAATAAATGAACGAATGCTCAAGTTAATGAATGAAATTACAATTATAAAGAAGTATAATGAAAAAGATTTTAAAATATAAGTTATTTACACTTACCCATATTAGAAAAACTGTAACTACTTAAAACTTTTCCTTGTCTCTTCACGTCTAAGTCAGCAATGCAACTGACATTTCAACTCACTGGCATTGATTTTATATGCTCCATAGGAAGAATATTTTATCAACAAAACAACATAATTTCGACACTTTGAGGTCAAAGATCCGCCCTCGTTAATTGTTAGAATTACCGCATTTTCGCGATGATTGAGAATTGTCAGTACATTTTCCTCTCGCTAACAGCATCAACAAGGGAAGCTACTTTTTCTTGTCGACATCGCTTGTCACGTAAGCAACAGCGTGACATGCACACGTACAAGGAAAAGTCACTTCCCGCAAACAAGTTCGTTTAGTGGAAAACCTAGTTGATTTAGATCTGTTTTCAGTTCAGTGCCGATAAAAATCGCGAACGTTCAGCCATTTTAGACGAATGTTCACAAAAACTTGATTGAGATTTTGATATATGGCTTTACCAGAAGGTAAAGTACTTTTCAGAATCGAAACTGTAAAGGTTACATCCAGGCCCAACCACCGGCCCCCACGTTCTTTCGCTTGCAGATGTTAATTAACAGCAAATGAATTTGTATTAAAGGACTGTACCGTAAAATTGCAGAGTGCTGAAAATGCGGAGTATTGAAAATGTTGGGTGTTCAAAACGTGGATCGTGTTGGAAATGCTTAATTTAAGCTTCCGAAGTGAATTCTCAATGCGTGGTGCGTGACTGTTTATTATCAGCAGGATGTCTAAAGTTAATCATGGATGACAGACGAAATGGACTTAACCCTGCAAATCAATTGAATTCATATTCTAATTAATCACGTACAAACAGAAATTCGTCTATAGTGATCTATATGTAGAGGCATTTTGATATTTTTATTTAAACAGTTAATTGGCGTTAATTGGAAAATGTGTTAACTGAGCTGAACGTATGTTAACACCATGCAGCTTTAATACTGATGACGCAGTAATTCAGCAACCAGTGTCGCTTCCTGTTATTGTCAATATTTTTATATGGTCTATGGTTTGCTAAGCTACGTGGAGACCAATTTTTTGGGTTGTTTATTCTACAAGTTAGAAACATTTTATTAAGTTGTCAATATTGAATCTTTAAACAACATAGAAGTTTAATACATATTTCAGGGTTTACACTCGTTGCAAATATTGATTGACATCTTTATTTAAGATTGATTGATTGACATCTTTATTTAAAACACGAGGTCCTTTTCACAGGTTTTGTTATGTGCTCTTCAATGGAGACGTGTACGTACACTGGTAGACTAATCAGTTACTATCAAACTATTTACAAAAGTAACAAACTACACATGCAAAGAAACTAATGTAAAAGAAATATTAAGATATTTTAGATTTAAACTCAGCGAGAGATTGAACTCTAGTGAGTTCGACAGGTATGTCATTCCATAGGGTAGCTCCTCTATAGGAAAAACTTTTCTTCAATTAGGATTCCGTTAAGGGTCTTGGTACAAAAAGTTTATGATTAATATACGTAAGACATATATAAAAGGGACAGATATAAAAGAGACATATCAGTACGTGCATGAGATATATAGCCTACATGAGATATAGCCTACATAAATTTGACTTTTATATCGTTTATATATTTAATTGAACGAACTTATACTGCGGATAATACGAACATGCAACATACTATTGAATAACTGTTTTCATATATTATGAGATTATGAAATTATTTTTGCAAAAACGAGCAAAAGAATTCGACATAATAAATATATTGCCTTCGGTTGAAGTTGTTTTATATTTTTGCCATTGTTGTAATTCCTTATTTTGCTGTGTTAATTGTTTATTTCGCTACGCGTATATATGTTTGTAGGTTGCTTTAATGTCTAAAGCCCGCCGCACACGAGCGCGCTTGAGTAAGCCTGCCGCACACGAGCGCACTTGTCGCGCGTACTTGTTATTCATCACAAGTTGGATCGACAAAATTTCCTCGTGTGCGGGCAACATTTACGGCATTTTTGTCATTCGTGACATGTAAACCAAATATCAAACCGATGTTTGATATTTTTCGT